AACCTGCCAGCTCCAGTGTATGTGGCTGGCACCCTTCGCCGCTGAGCTACAGGTGCCAAGCATCTAATTACTTCTTTCTATTTCTGTACTTATGTCCTTATGGACAGGTAAGAGTTTGAAGACTAGCACCACTCCCCAAATTTGAACAACACTGGTCTAGAGTCTTTGACAGATAGTCATCTTTGTTCTACCCTGTGGACAAACTAACATCCTTGTTAAGCTGTGTGATAGGAGCCAATATTCAAAGTTCTCTCAAGTTGCCTTTTGGAGGAAATTTTTGTAACCATCTGCCAGCTTTATTGTAGCTCAGTCAAGTGTCCTGAAATAAGGCATTCTTTTATCACCCTCCTGTAACTAGAGGGATGTTCTCTTGTTTAGAGAATCCCCTTCTTTGGATTTCCTGTTTCATCTTGTTTAGAATATTTGAATTCAAGAATTTAGAGAATTTGGCAGACATCCCAAATTCTTCTTGAATTTCCCCCATATGACACAAGGACAAGTCGGCAATTGAGTAGTAGACGGAATGTGGGTAAATAGTTCCCCAGGGCAGAAATGTAAATCAAGCATTAATGGCAATTCTGGGCTACATTAATTAGTGTTCATATATAGATAATGAAATTTCTGCAGTAAGGGAACAATTACACTGTTTTAATATGGGAAGCTGCTTATCTCCATATATATGTGGAAACATCTTTTACAAAATGTTGATAACAACAAAACTTAATAATCAAATCAATTCTTAAGAGTTTTGTTCTATAGAACAAATTATTTAAAAACTATGCCTTTTCAGTATTTGTTATTACTGACATGTCTAAAATGTACTATTGCAAGAGCTTTTTAAATATTTTTTTATCATTTTATTTTATTATTATTTTTTATTTCAGGCTCCTTTATTCCATGAATATTTACAGAACATCAACTATAGGCAAAACATTGACATAATCACTGAAAATAACATTGGGACAAATATATCAATTTTATGAGGAAACAAAAGCATTATCTACAAATCAATTATGAGATAAGCGTACTCATTACCACCACTCCTAGTAAAGGTGAAGATCCTAGCTAGTACAATTATGATAACTTAAAAATCCTAATGGTTTGTAAAAAAAATTACAAATTTCATTACTTTCAAGTTACCAAGTTACTTGCAAGTTACCAAAAACAATAGAAAAACTCAGCAATGTAGCTAACTTCAAAATAACTATACAAAATCAGTTATATTCCTATATAAAAAAGAATTACAAAATAATATTAGAAAAAGAAAGATGGCATTGTATCAGCAACCAAAAGAGCTTTTTTTAAACCTCCTTTTTCTTTCTGTTCCAGCTTTTCTTCCTCCTAGTTCTTTTGTTGTGAAACCAAGAACTCAGTGGTGCCCAACATAGATGTAGTGATTCTTTGAGGGATCTTTCCAAGTCATATTTGGTATTTAGGATGAATCCTATTTTATGATTCCTGAGAACTTGACAAACTCAAAGTCTTTCTCTCATACATAGAATAATACAGGTAACAGATTGATAGGTTTTTCATCACCTCACTAAATTAACTTTCCCATAAAAACAATGGCAAAATATGTTAGAGTTGGTGAACTCAGAAGGCTCCAAGGGAGAAAAATAGTCTGCCAGTAGACAAAGACAAAATGTACTAACCTTACATCTTTCATTGGAAAGGAGATTTCGGGGGGTTATGTTCTAAGAAAAGTCAATCACAACTGAATCAAGGCTCTCCAAATAATACCCAATTAACATTTAGCTGCCTCTAAGCATTTTAACAGAAGATAAAGAAATAGAATTCAAAACAATCAAGTTCCTGAAATCATCTCTGCCAAAGAACACCTGAAAATTAATTTTAGAAGTAACTTGCCTGCCATGCTATGAAATTTATGTGGATGCCTCTCATCCTTTTGTAGATAAATCCACCATAACATGTTTCCACATCTGTAGAAGGTTTAGATGTAAAAGGAGAGAAATTCTCATAAAATGATTAGTCCTTATAATTATTGGCAGACTCTAAGCAAGGGGATCGCTTTTTGATGTTTTTCTTTTCTTTCACTTCTAAAAGGTGAAGGAGCAAAGAAAGGCTTTATCCTTGGGAGAAAGATCATGGTCTGGGACAAGGCAGGGTCTGGGGTGACAGTAGGGTCTCGGTGGACTACACTCACTGTGAGGTCAGTACTAGTCACATCTTCCCATGAATCACAGTGCCCAGAAATAGAAAGGAGAGGAGAGAAGCACTTGGGATCTCACCCTGTAGTTTTTGGAAGAATTCAATAAAATGAAGAGGTTTTAACTTGTGTAGAAGAATAAGTTATCTAGGGAAACTTATCCTGAGAAGAAGCTTATCTGAACAAAATTTCTAGCTCCAATAGAACAAAGCAAAAAAAAAAAAAAAAAAGCTACTGTTCCAAATTATTGCATTGTGCTTTGAGGGAGCCCCAGGGTGCTCATTTGAGCTTACTGACTATTTGAACAAATGAAACCCCCTCCCCACATCCCATCCCACCCATGTTCCAAGCCAGGACCTGTGCTGGGCTGTAGAATAATGTAGGGAAGCCCCTTCCCTCCAGCTGTCCTCAGCCTGGTGAAAGAAGGCAGACAGTCACATAGAGCACATGAGAAAGGGCAGAGAGATTCTGGGAATAGCCAGGAGAGACACAGAATCCAAGATTAGAGCTTCAAATAAGGTCCAGTACCAGCACCCAGGCTTTCAGATTCATGGCTGTTGCTGAGTTGCATTTCTTTCTTTCTTGTTAATTCTAATCACTTGGTCATCTTAATTTTGACTAATTCACTAAAAAGAAGAGTAGGCAAGGGGAAAGACATCTGAAGAAAATAGGTGAGCCATTAGCCAAAAGGTAGCCAACAACAAAAACAAAACAAAACGTGATTTTTTTTTTGTTATAAAAAACAAAAGTCATGCTTGCTTCGACAGCACATACACCAGGTTTGGAACGATCCAGAGAAGATTATCATGGCCCCTGTGCAAGGATGACCTGTAGCTTTGTGAAGATTCCATACTTTTAATTAAATTGAATTAAAAAAAGTCATAATGTTAACACAATCTAGGAAAGGGTAGATTAAGTTTAGAATTCCTTGTTTAATAAAGTGAAAGTGTGTGTAATACGGCTTAGAAGTATTTAATCTAAAATGATTAAAATTGAAATGTCACACCCCTTTAAAAAAAAAGCATTGAGCATCTACTTAATGAAACACATATAAGAAGAAAGTCTTAGTCATCTGGAAAGCTATTTTATGGAGACTACGTCATTCTCCAACATTAGCAGATAAACAGGGTGCAGAGTATTAATTATCAAAGCAGAAAATATGCTTTGGATGGCTGACATACCGCATTGCTTTGTAATTGCTCTTAAGCTATTTCCAAATAATATCTATAATAATCATACACTTCCAGACTATCTTTGTACTTGACCCAGATACAGCCAAGTATGTGAGGACAGCTTAAGAAACACCACAGTGTCATATCCAGAGGGCAGACATCGTAGGGGGCATATAACAGTTCTGTTCAAAGGAAAATCAATCATTCACTGAAAAGGGCATGATGTTTAGCCAGAAAGTTCTGTGAAGGACAAATACAACCTAAGATGGAGAACGTAAAATAGAAATATAACTGACTAATACTTGATGTCAACTGAAAAGCCTAGAGTGTTAACTACGTTTGAAGTTAAGTACTAGGCGTGAGGCAAGCTCTGTGGAGGTGGTTAATGATTAATGTGGGAACTTGAACTTTTGTTTGACCAAGGAACAGAACCACCCCTGGGGGAAACCCACACACAGATGCATGCACACACACACTTCATCTCCCTTTGGTTCAATGAAATCTCTAAGGGTAGGACTCATACATCACCTTTTTTGCAAATTTCAGGTTAATCTGAGGATACAAATGATTACACTGTTTTCATTTCTAAGGTAAAGGTCAAGCTGTAGTTGAGACCTTCACCCAGGGGTGCTGAACATCCTCAAGTTGTATACATTAGGTGGGAACTGGCTGATCCCCCTACTCTTTTTCCCTTTCTCTCTTCTTCCCTCCCCATTGCTAGAATATACTTGTGGTTTTCTTTTGTGTTGGCATGTCTAATTTACATGTTGGTTTCATATTAGTACTGAGTACATTGGATACTTGCTTTTCCATTCTTGTGATACTTTACTAAGAGGAATGTGTTTCATTTCCATCCAGGTAAATACAAAAGATGTAAAGCGTCCATCTTTTTTATGGCTGAATAGTACTCCATGGTATACATGTACCAGAGTTTAGTAATCCATTCCTAGGCTGATGGGCACTTGGGTTGCTTCCATATCTTGCCAATTGTGAATGGAGCTGCAATAAACAATTTGTGCAAATGTCTTTGTGGTAAAAATAATTTTCTTTTTCTTTTGGGTAGATATCTAGTAATGGGATTGTGGGATCAAATGGAAGGTCACTTGGTTCTTCAAGAATGCTTCACACTTCTTTCCAGAGAGGTTGTATTTGTTTGCAATCCCACCAGCAGTGTAAAAGTGTCAGTATCAGTTTTAGGATTTTGTAAGGCATAAAGCCCTGCATGATGCTGTTGCCAGTATATAGCCAGGATGGGGAACCACTGCCCTAATCTAACCAGGTGTACATATGTGGGTCAGCACACACAAGCATGTAGGAAAAGTATCATGGACTGAATGTGTGTACCCCCTCACAGCTCCAGATTTACATGTTGAAATCCTGACCCTGAATGTGATGGTATTAAGAGATGGATCCTTTAAGAGGTAATTAAATCAGGAAGGCAGAATCTTTGTGAATGGGGTCAGGGCCCTTATAAAAGGGACTCTCCGGCTCACTCTCCTCCATATTAGGATTCAGAGAGCAACTGGCTGGCTGCAACCAGAAAGAGGGCCCCACCACAACTCTACTATGTTGATACCCAGTTCTTGAACTTCCAGCCCCCAGAACTATGAGAAATAAATGTCTGTTGTTTGTAAGCTTCCCAATCTGTGCTACTTTGTCATAGCAGCCCAAACTAAGATAGGGAGTAGCTAGGCAAGTTCTTGAAAGGGCACCTTGAAGGATGAATGGATACTATCTAGATGGATAATTCACACTTGAATGTGCAAGAACAATCCATGATCTGAAAAGACTCTCTGGGTTCTGATAACGAGGGTAGCAGAAAATCAGGTGGGAGGGCAGCAGAGCATCTCCTGTGTCTAGGAAACTAGAGATGGGGCTGCCTTTTGCAGACAGTGAGGAATCACTGAAGAATTTTAAGGAGAGGTGAGACATAGATTTGTGTTTTGAATAGATCACTCAAATAGCAGGGTGGAAAATAAATATTAGAGTGATTAAAAAAAATTATTTCAGAGTAGTGTGGGGTATATTTTAGTGCAGTGTTCTCATGAACTATGCATCTCTGGATTATCTGTACCTGTTTTGAGCTCTTTGCTGCTTGTGAAAAGTGGCCAACAATCTTTGCTCACTTTTTGATGACTTACAGTAGGAAAAGAGAGAGGAAAGGTGGAGATAGAAGAGAGAAGGTGAGCAGAATGGAAAGAACTGCCTTAGACAGATGCTGTGGTTAAAGGTGCCACCTAAAGTGTCCCGAGCATAGAGTTTCATTTGTTCTCCTCTAGAGGCTGGTCATCCTCTGTTCCTGGCTGTGGCCCTTTCTGCTGGGCCCTTACAGCTCAAAGTGTGGTCCTTTGGGACAGCAGAATCAGAATCACTTTGTAATTTTGTTAAAATGAAGACGGTAAGACCCTGACCCATACCTACTGAATCAGAACTGATTTTTATAAGATTCCCATGTAATTTCTATGCATGTTGAAAATAGAGAAACTTTACTGAAGAGCAATGTTTTTCAAATTTTTTAACTGAGACCCTTCTACACGGCAAGAAAGACATTTTATGTGGTGGCCTAGTTGAGACACACACACAAACACACACGCCCGCATGCAACTGAAGCAAACTTTTTTTTTCAGGAAGGAAAACTTACCAACTCTATTTTCTGTTTTATGCCTTAAAAAAAGAATATGAGTCAAAACTCACTATACTGATTTCATAATTCTCTAATAGGCCATAACATGTGATTTTTGCTGCTAAAGAACCAAAGTGACATAGCCTTCCAGTGGAATAACGGAACTATGGTGCCAGGTTTCAGGAAAATAAATTAAATGAAAACCAATTTGCCTATCTGAAGACTTTTTTCCCTCACATTTTTTTAAAGGTCTGGTTGATTGTTAGCAAATGAGTGCCAATAAGTATAATCAAGAATAAGAGAAAAGCAGATAAATATTTACAGAAAAAGAATCGGAAAGAGTCAATCATGTTTAGCTTAAAAACGAAAAAAAAATTAGTCACATGCCTTGGGTTGAAGTTTTATGTGCCACAAAATGTTTCTTGAAGTGAAATATTTTTTAATGTGAGAAAGATTTTGTCCTATTAATATTTATTATCACCTGATCAGGGCTAAGAATCATTGCTCTAGAAGAGTATTTCTCAAATTAGTTTTGATCATAGTGTAGACTGGCAAGGTAGAAGATCTCACATCCCGTTTACCTTGCCCTTTCTCCCTCTGCTGAGGAAGAAACATATAGTAAGAAATGAGAGGGAACGTGTCACTGTATAAGCAAATTTCTGTGGTTTGCCTTAGCAAAGTGGTAGAGATGACTCGTGTTTGAGTCACCATGTATACATGCCTTAAAGCCTAGTGATTGCAAAATTACAGTCTTCAAATGCCATTGATGGAAACATATATCGCTACACACTCTGGGGTTAACCAAGTGATCCACAACAAAGTCCAATGTAAATGAAGGAGCTAAGCCAAAAGTAACTCATAAGTAGAAGGCATCTGGAAACCATGGCCAAATTAAGACCACACTGATAATCAAGTGTGCTTCCTGAAAATGGCAGAAATTCCAAGAGTTTTGTTCAGGCAGAGTTGTGCAACCTTGCCAGCATTACATAGACCTGGAACTTGAGCCACCAGTAATCTCTACTAAAGTGAGAGTCAAATTTTGTACATACACCATTTACAGACTTCTACTCATTTATTCAGTAGGTGGCCAATATGTAAGTTTTAGATTATGTAAAAATGACAAAATATGAATTATGAATCATTGAGCTGGAAGACCCAAAGAAAGATTGTGCATTATCAGGGGTCCAATGTGCACTGTAATCCATGCTTTAAGAACTGCTGCTAGAGAATCATTCATTTTCAAGGCCCCAGTTGGAGCTATCTGGTGACAACTCTGGAATTCCATGGCTTTTTAAGGCAATCATTTTTTGGTTCTTTTTATAAATTTTTATTTTCTGATTTCTGGAGAATGCAGAAAAACCCACTGAGATTTGCACAGGAACTAAGCCTGGGTAATTCTACATATTTCCACACTTTTACTCCAGTCTAGGCCAGGGAGAGCTCAAAGGTTTCATCTCCCAGGCCAAGTCTGATTGATTAGTAATGGATGCCTAAGTGGCTGTGTTGAAGCCAGAAAGGGTGTCTTAATTGATTAAGGACGCTGGCTGCAGGCCCTACCGGGGGAGGGCAGCTGTGGGGCTTGTTTTGCTCGCTCTGCTATGGGCTCTTTTTTCCTAAACTCTTGAGGCGGAACTTGGGTCCTTTATTACCCCATAGACCCACATTGAGGTGTCTTTCTGGAATGTCATTGATAATCAAGCTTTGGTTTCTTTTTCACCATGTTCACATCCAATTAAATTTGAATTTCAGATAAATAACAAATACATTTTCTGTAAGGATAGTTCAAATGTTGCCTGGGACATACTTCTACATAAGGTTTTGTTTGTTTGAAGTTTAAATTTAATGGGATGTCCTATATTTTTATTTGCTAAATTTGGCACCCTAAATTCAGCATTTAGGACACTTGTCAGCATCCCAGTATCTAGGTTTCTATGCCACCTACCTCCAGCTTCAGGGAACATGAGGCCCCTGAACACTAGAATAGCTTTGTGTATCCCAGAGTGACCCAAGGTAAATATGCAAACTAATCCTGAATTACAGAAGTTTGATCAGTCAAAAGAATG